CTGGAAAGGCGTGTTTTCTTTTTAGAATATCGTAAAAGACTTTTTCCTGGGCTATATTGCCTAAAAAAAAGAAGTTGGAAAAATGGCCATTTTTGGACCAAAACCATTGGTTAATCGCTTTGGAAAAGTGTCAATTTTTCGACTTTTTTAACTTCTTGTTTTTATAGGCTAGAAAAGCCTTTTTCCTTTGTAGAATGTCGTAAAAGACATTTTGCTGGCTTATATTTTTCCTTAAAAAAAGTTGGAAAAATGGTCTATTTTTGTACCAAAACCATGGGTTAACGCCTTTGGAAAAATGTCAATTTATCGACTTTTTTAACTACTTGTTTTTATAGCCTAGAAAGACGTTTTTTCGTTCTAGAGTATCGTAAAAGACATTTTCCTGGTCTATATTGCCAGGAGCCTCCATCTCCATTAATTTCTTGAGTCAACCCTTTCCCGAGTAGATTTATAAATAGAACGGCTTGTTTCCCGCGAAAAGTGTCATATTTCCGTGAGTCTCGTATGTCACCGTGAAAAAAATGAAGTTGGATGAAGTCGAACTCAGAAGCCCATCCTTCGACCGTTTCCCTTTTTTACTATACGTCCATTTTTACAGTTTTACAGCCGCTGGGATCTGGGATGAAATAAAAGTTAATGAATTACCCGACTGAGACTGAGCATGAAGCGATGGGACAAAGGCAGCGAACTGAGGATCACGGAAAGGTTCTTTGCGAGTGTTTGTTTGTTTGTTTGTTTTTTTTTTTCCGTCATACATCCCACATTTAAGCATGCACCTTGAAAAGAGTCGACGATTAAGCGTTCTGTGGACGATTTGAAACTTCGCGATGATCAGCGCCGAAAAAGTGCCAGGATCATTTATTTTTGTCATCGCCGTGGAGTGGATTTCGCAAGTTAATTAAGCACCGTGTGCAAAAGCGATGACCTAAGTAGCAAGTAAGGAGGAATGCTTCAGAAAAATTGCAGTCTTCCTTTACAACTGACTTGTATCACCATGAGAGTTGCCTGATAAAACTGGCACTTGAAAAGTTGAACAGAAGACAACAGTTGCTCGACCGTGAAGCTATTAAACTCAAAAGTAATGTGCTAACGGTGAAATTTGTGACATCGCGCTCCAGTCCAAAGACCCTCTTATCTCAAGAAAAACAAAATAGATTGTATCGCCGCCCAAAGAATTATGACTGACCAACAGGAGAATTCTCAGCAATTAATGTAGAAGTTTAGGCCAATTCTTTCCTTCGAATTCGCATCTGTAGATCACTTTTTTGCGAGAAAACAATGGCTGGGCTCGGCGTTTATACAAAACATGGCAGGGAATCATCACACTAACTGACGGACAAAACAACCACAGTATTTATTCAGACAAACGCATTTCGGATAAAAACTTGAAAAACTAGAAATTTGATTAATATTGAGTCATTTAGCCGAAATAAGAACCTTAACGCTCAAAAAAATTGGCTAAAGAAAACGAATCCTGTCAGAACTACAGACTGCAGGTAGTAGTTAATCCTTACGCATGTAACAGACCAGCTTAACGTGAGACAAGCAACCAAAATTAAGATTAACATAGTCAGAGTTTAAAACTCTCCATAGTATAATCTACCCGCTAGAAAGAAAAGAAAAGAAAATCTCTGAGGGATGAAAACTCTAAAGTCACGTTTCACTAGCTTATGAGTTTGTTTGGCCTGTCAGCACCGGATTTCCTGCTGTTTCGTGAAGTACAATAGCAGTGTCATTTAGTCGTTGTGATTGGCTCTTCCCACCGTCGGCGCGCGAAGTCTCCCCTGGGAACCGTTCTAATTATAAATCTACTCGGGAAAGGGTAGTCTGCTACACAACCGTTTTTAGTATCGTCACGCAATGTTCCTCCCCACAAACGGCTGCTGAAAACCGAACTACATTCCTTTCCCTTTGTGTTTGTGGTCTAACGAACAAGCCAATCATGTACAAGAAGTTTGACAATACGTGAACCGCGGGGCGCTAGGAAGCGAGCACGCTTCTCAGTTTTCGATAAATCAATCAATCGTCGCTGAATTTAGACGGGCTCTGTGTTTTCAAGCAACGAAAAGGTTAATTTGCAAAAAAGTTGTTTTAAGCGGCCAAGAAAGTTCCAATTGAAAAAAGGTTTGATAGGCCTAGAAGACTTTTACCAGGATCGGTTGGTTCTTCATTTAACGTGCATATGTACTGATACGTAATGAAGAATTTAAATGTGCCGGATGTGCTCATTGTGTTCCGGTGAAGACTAAACTCTCAAGGGTACTGATTCAAAAAGCAATCTTTAAAATTATCGATGAGCGATTTCCCGAACTATACCTGGCAACTTTATGAGCACATCCATGTTGTGCATCGCAATTTGTTCGACTTGCTTGCTGCTGCTGCAAATCTCCTAAATTTTAAATAGGACTCGACTACGACAACACTGCTCTAGTTAATTGCTTGTTTTCACGCGACGTTTTGATTATTCTGTCATTCACACATGGGGCACCGATAAAAGCAAAGCTGTGATTGGAGGAGTCACAGTACCGCAAACGTGGCGCGAACACCTTCCAGAAAATGGGAGCTGAATTATAATTGGCTAATCACGGGAAAGGAATGTAGTTCGGTTTTCAGCAGCCGTTAGTGGGGAGGAGCGTTGCGTTACAACACTAAAAACGGCTGTGTAGCAGACTAGGGAAAGGGTTGACTCCAAGGGCTTGTATGGGAGATGGAGGCTCCATTTGATAGGCTCCTGATATTGCCTAAAAAAAAAAAGTTGGAAAGTGGCCATTTTTGGACCAAAACCATGGGTTAACCCCTTTGCAAAAATCTCAATTTATCGACTGTTATAACTTCTTGTTTTTATAGCCTAGAAAGGCGTTTTTTCGTTCTAGAATATCGGAAAAGACATTTTCCTGGCGTATATTGCCCAAAAAGAAAAAGTTGGAAAAATGGCTATTTTTGGACCAAAACCATGGGTTAACCCCTTTACAAAAATCTCAATTTTCTCAATCAAAATCTGGAAAAATTTCCAATTTTTGACGAAAACCATAGACTAACCCCTTTGGAACAATCCCAGTTTTTCGACTTTTTGAATTTCTTGTTTTTATAATCTAGGGAGGCGTTTCTTCCTTCAAGAATATGGCAAAAACATTTTTCTGGCCTATTTTCTCTAAAATAGACGTTAGGAAAAACTACCAATTTTTCACGAAACCCTTGGACTAACCCCCCTTCCCTAAAATTAAAATCTGGAAAAATTACCAATTTTTGACCAAGACCATGGACTAACCCCTTTTAAATAATCCCAATTTTCCGACTTTCTGAACTTCTTGTTTTTATAGTCTAGAAAGGCGTTTCTTCCTTTCCAGAATTTCCTAAAACACATTTTTCTGGTCTATTTTCGTTAAAATAAAAGTCTGGAAAAAGTACCAATTTTTGACCAAAACCATGGACCCCTTTGTAAAAATCCAAATTTATGGACTTTTTGAATTTTGTGTTTTCATAGTTTAGAAACGCATTTCTTCCTTGTAGAATATCATAAACACATTTTTCTGCGCCTATTTCCCCGACCAAAAGAAATTCTCGATAAATTACCAATTTTTGACCGGAACCATGGACTAACCCCTTTGTAACAATCCCAATTTTTTGACTTTTTGAACTTCTTGCTTTCATAGTCTAGAAAGGCGTTCCTTCCTTTGAGAATATCGTAAAAAACATTTTTCTGCCCCAATTTTCCCTACAATAAAAATCTGGCAAAATTACCAATTTTTGACCAAAACCATGGACTAACCCCTTTGAAAAAATCCCAATTTTTCGACTTTTTCAACTTCTTGTTTTTATAGTCTAGAAAGGCGTTTCTTCCTTCTAGAATTTCGTAAAAGACATTTTTCGGACTTATTTTCCGTAAAATCAAAATCTGGAAAAATTACCAATTTTTGACCAAAACCATGGACTAACCCCTTTGAAAAATCACTATTTTTTCGACTTTTTGAACTTCTTTTTTTATAGTCTAAAAAGGCGCTTCTTCCTTCTAGAATATCGTAAACACATGTTTCTGGTCTATTTTCGTTAAAATAAAAGTCTGGAAAAATTACCAATTTTTGACCAAAACCATGGACTAACCCGTTTGTTACAATCCCAATTTATCGACTTGTTGAATTTTTTGTTTTCATAGTTTAGAAAGGGGTTTCTTCCTTCTAGAATGTCGTAAACACATTTTTCTGCGCCTATTTCCTCCCCCAAAAACGAAATTCTCGATAAATTACCAATTTTGGACCGAAACCATGGACTAATCCCTTTGTAACAATCCCAATTTTTCGACTTTTTTAACTTCTTGTTTTTATAGTGTAGAAAGGCGTTTCTTCCTTCGAGAATATCGTAAAAAAAAAATATTCTGGCTTATTTTCCCCAAAATAAAAATCTGGAAAAATTACCAATTTTTGACCAAAACCATGGACTAACCCCTTTGAAAAAATCCCAATTTTTCGACTTCTTGAACTTTTTCTTTTTATAGTCTAGAAAGGCGTTTCTTCCTTCTAGAATATGGTAAACACATTTTTCTGTCCTATTTTCCTTAAAATTAAAGTCTGGAAAAATTACCAATTTTTGACCAAAACCATGGACTAACCCGTTTGTTACAATCCCAATTTTACGACTTTTTGAACTTCTTGTTTTTATGATGTTGTCCATAAAATACCATTTTTACATGGCCAAATTGGTACTTTTGTAAAGGGGGTAGCCCATGATTTTGGTCAAAAAGTGGGAATTTCTTTACGTAGTTTGCTTTTGGACAAAATAGGCCTTAAATAACGTTTGGTGGTCTTCTAGAAGGAAGAAAAGCTTTTCTAGTCGATAAAATACCATTTTTACATAATTGCCCATTTCGCAGTTTTGTGAAGGGGTTAGCCCATGATTTACGTCAAAAATTGGAAATTTTTTCATAGGTTGCTTTTGGACAAAGTAGACCTATCACCAACAAAAACCGTTGTTAGTCTTTACCTTTTGTTTTAAAGTATTAAAATATGGATGTTATGTTTGCTATGAGGACCCCTTGTGTTCCGAGCAACATTGACCACATTATTGAGGTAGCGGGTGAGACCTGGGTCTGTTTTATACCGAATTGCACCATGGGACTAGTGCTGTTTTGTAGCACGAATTTGGACTCAGTTTCCAGCGCCTTTTCGCGGTAGCCAATAAATGAAGAGATGGAGTCCGTCCCCCAAAACAGTCTCCAATATAGTGCAATTCCACACCACACCGACGCAGTCTCATGCACATGCTCAGCATGTTTGTTATTGGCAAAATGAGAATCCTGTAAAACTAGCTCGTTACTCGTCAAAGCTATAAGGGGCCGCCTGATATCGCGGTTACGCATTATTTGAGCTTTATATTGCATTTCACTCAGCACTTATTTATTACATCCAAGATTTTGGACGATGGGACACGTGACCAGACGATGACACGTGACCAGTCCATGCTCCCCCCTTCCATTTTCTAAGGGAAAAAACCTGGGGAAAAGGCTGAGAAATATAATTCGCCATTTTATGTTTGTTTCCTTTCTTTATTTTTTATATCACTCTTCCTGCCGTAAGGATTAATTTACTGTTTTAATTTTTGAATTGAAGATTTTACTGATCCAGGTCTACTAAGGATCCGGCTTACTCTCAACTGGTTTGTCGTTGTGGTTTTGCCTTCCCAAGTGTTTTCAAGAAACGATGTTTACCGACGTTTGTGACAAAAAAGCCACGAAGACCATGAGATTACCATTATGTCTGGCAGTAAGCTGGAATTTTTCTAGGGGGATCGCCCATGATTCTGAGCAAAGGAGGATGAATGACCTCTCTTGCTTGGTCCTTTATCCTCTCTCCGCGTTCTACGAAAAATACTAGAATTTTGTATTTGTTTCGTCAGTTTTGTCAGAAAGGGCCAAGAAATCATTTTTGTCGACGTTTTAAAGTGGTGAAAAGGCCACAAAGACAAGTTATAAATATTCCTATTTTGGCTGGCAGCTATTAGCTGGATTTTCCAAAGGGGGCAGCCTTTGACCTTTGGATAAAAAACAGAAATTTCTTTTGGTCTGAAATTTTAACTAGCCGGCATCCGTACATGGATATTGTAGTTTTTCTATTCTTATTTAAAGATTTAGATAAATAAATTTTCTGTTCAATAAAAGAAAAACTTAGTAAGCGCCCTCTAACTTAGGAATAAGTTCACTCCTTCGATCAAATAACCGTCTCTCCAACACCCCCAACCCCCACCCCCACACTTAATTTTGGTTACTATGATCCGGGGTTAAGCGGAAATCCTCCGGGAAATGCCCTTGGACAGCTCACGTGATATACGGCTATCACCTTAGGCCGGATCGGTGTATGTGATCTTTTTCTTCCATCAGCGTTTGTTGGTGCGTCGTTCATTTTCGGGCGCTACTCCAAGCAACCATGAGCTGTCATTTGGTGTCGCTGTTGTTGTTTCTCACCTTGTTGTCGCAGACCCAAGGATTTTGTGGTAAGAAATTCAGAAAAATGCCTTTTAAAGTGAACAGTTAATGAGATTATTGGTGAAAATTGCAATCGTAACGTAACGTGAGGAGAAATATAGTATCTGACAATTCTGGAGAATTCATTTTGAAGAATTCACGTTCTGATGTCTTCAGTTAATACAGATCCGTTTTCATTTAAGGAGGGTATCGTTTACATGCCATTTTCCTCAACAGAACTAGTTTGTAAGAAATGTAGGAACAGGCTTAAACACATCGCCCTTGCAACGGCAACAGTTGTTACTGCGTTTTAAAATAATTCATTGTTCGTTTTACAGCGTTTGGTATAAATGATAATCGAAACATGATTTTAAATTTACATCCTTGCAAAGCGACAGATTGCTAGTTGTTTTTAACCGCAGACAAAGTAATTTTTTCCTTTCTTACGAAATTGAGAAAGAATTCACTTAGGTCCCTGCAGCGAATTGGGGGGTGAGGTAGGGTAAGGGGGGTGGAGGTGGAGGGAGTTATCGCTTCACACGGTACGTGCGTAGCAGAGCTCCTCCCGAAGGGTACGCATGGTCGCTGAGCATGTTTCTGTTTACATAAATCTAAAATAGTTTTTAAAATAAATATTGAATTTGTTCCGCTTTAAAATTTACCTTGAGGAAAGATGGGAAGTACTTTAATCTCGCAGAATGGAGGAAAAGTCATCCCAACTTAAAAGTGGTGACTTTTTTTTCTCAGCCACCAAATACAAAAGCAGCTTCCCCGCTTGGGGCCCTAATGACCCCCATTCCCGACCCCAAATTGAAAATCACTTTTGCGACTTGATGATAGATGACGAAGGAAGTTGCAAAACTCACGCTCATTTTGTAAATCAATGAATACCAATTGCGTCACAGTAACAAGCCACACGCCACACTGGTCACACGCCATTATTTCTACTATGCTGAATAAGGCAAAGAACAAGTTCGGTCACTTGAGACGGTTTTTTATGCACCAAAGGTTATCGACTTCCAGCTATCATTTATCTCGTCACGCATCTTTCTCCCGAGACAGCCCTGGGAACGAGGTTGACGTTCATATGTCTTCGTAACGCGTTCTTTCTCCCCTAAGAACTTCTGCGTGAGCTGTAGAAGGTGACTAAACACGACAACTAGAGACTACTTCGAGCAATATTGACAGGAACTGCCGAGATAGTGGCGGGCCGCATATTTTCCGCACCTGACGATCTTTTGCCAGTCGTTTATGCAAGAGCCACAATAGGACATTATGGCTCTTGGTTTGTGACATTTTCGTATCCGTTGCTCTATTAATTAAAGAAACGCACGGATCATAAATTGTTAATATCAGGAGTATTAGTTCTTTAGATTCAAAATCCATTTTTTGGATTTTTCTACAGAAACTCGCCCCAGCATTTAAAATGCTTTGTTTGATGAGTGGCATATTCATTCCACATGCCGCTGAATTATTGTGAGTTCTAGCGTCGCCGAAGACATGAACGATCAGCGCAAGTACAAGCTCTTCTGTTTCGGGTTATGGGATTAAATAAAAGTAGAAACTCATAAGGGGTTATGAATTTCTGATAAAAGTAAACAAATGAATTGATTTCTTAGTGCAGCAACAAACTCGTCAGCCTTGTTGATTAAAAACAACAACGATGATAATGACGACGATTTTACCTACGTTGCCCCGGACGAATTTGATGGTCGTACCTTGAGCATAGACTAACTGCGAGCTCAGTGACAGTCGTTCTCATGTACTCTTAAATTCTTAAAGTCGCGTCGGTTGTCGTGTGGTCCCGACCTGTTTGGCTCTTCTTGCCTGGGCCCAACAATCGCGCAAAACATGAAATACGTTTAACTAAGACTTAATCTGTTTTAGGTTCAAGATTCTTTCAGACAAGCCTTATCCGCTCAGCCGTCAAAGCGGCCGAATGGCTGCAAAACCAACAAGACGAAAATGGTACGTACGGGGAGGGGCATGTGACTGCCGCTGCTCTGCACTCCTCAGGGTTGATTGGGTATCCTGTGGAGAGGAAAGCCGACTTACTGACCGCTGAAATAATTAAAAACGACCTTGGCTCTATTCATGGCGCTAGACTCGGCTCATACATACTTGGTGCCATGGCTACCTGCCAGGATCCACATAACATCAACCAATCCAGTTTAATCCTGGCACTGAAGAGTAAACTTGACAAGTATCCTCATTTGAACTTTGATCACCCCTACCAGTACAGCTGGGCAGTAATGGCACTTTGTAGCAGCGGGAACATTCTCGGAAAGAAGAAGAGCGACTACGCGAAAAAAGTGATGAATGACATTAACAGACACCTGGACAGGAATAAAAGTTTTAGCGTGGACACTTTATCTATGCAGGTATTGGCTTTGACTTGCATCAAGAAAACCAGGAAAAGAAGAGACGCAAGGGGGCTGCAGAAAAAGCTTCGAGCCAGCATTAACAAGGCGAGTGAAGAACTTAAAAATCGTCAGATAAATGACAGCACGTTTGGAGAGAATGAAGTTTCAGCAGCTCTTGCTTCTCAGGTGAGTAGAGTGAGGGGAGTGAGGGGAGGGAGGGGAGAGGTTGCTGTCAATTGTTAAGTGATGAATCGATGATTGTAGCATTATTTGACCGAGGGAAGTGCTGGTGCATTGTTTACTCAGTGACATTTTGATTTTGTAGCGAACGGCAAACATTAACCCTTTTCTTTCCCGAGAGAATGATGGACTCTTGTAAGGTGGTTCTCATTTTTGACTCTATCTGTGGGTGAAATCCTGCTGTGTAACATTAAAATTAATCCTCTTTGGCAGTTCTTTCACATGGTGCAATTTACGTTTTCAGCATTTCACAAAATGAAATTTAAATTTTTTTTGTTGAATTTTTACGTTTGGCAATTCAGGAAGTTAAGATTGACAGTAACGGTGTGTCACCAAAACCACTTAAAACAAAGCTAAGCAATCAAATTAGAGAAAGCGATCAACGAATTCAAAACAACCCTTTGAATCAAACAATAGCTGTTCTGAAACTATTGTTTGGCCCTGGTTACGGTAGCCGCCATGTAAAACGTCCCTTGTCACCCACTGCAAACGTAATCCTATCATATCCTCAGCATTACAGGGGCGTAGCTACGATATTTCCAGAGGTACGCAGAGTTTTACAAATTAACACTAACCTGTCTTCCTAGTTGTTTCCATGTGGGTGATTTAATTAAATTTCCGTTTTCTTGTCATTAAGGTGAGGTAATGACTTTTTTATTTTCATTTTGTTTCTTTTTAAATTTGACATTTTTCAGCCACGCAAATGCGAGCTGGCGCAAGCTACAACGCTGGATTACCCGACCCGCTGGATTGGTAATACCTCTAGACGGGTCAAAAAGAACTACAGCAAAATAATTAAATCAATGAATAAAGGTCAATGAAATGAAACTGGAGCACCCAAATTGATTCTCGTGCTTTGAACTTTTTTGTCATTCCAACTAGGCTCTGTTAGCGGCCGAAGCAAAGAAAACTAAGTGTACCACGACCATGCGCTGGTTACTATCTCGACAAAAACCCGACGGATCCTTCACCAACCTTATGGCCACAATTGCCGTGCTTCCAACTTTGATCGGAGCCCTACCTTTTGATGTGCAAAATAGATCATGCCCTACGAGTACTACAGGTAAACATTATGGCGTGTAGTATATATTAAACTGTAGGAGAAATGCAGGTTATTATCATGACGTGCAGAATATACCCTGTTCTGTTCTGGCCACACCCTGTCCTGTTTCTCACTGTGGGAGAAAGTACTGATATTTTTTGAGCGACCGGGGACGTATTTCAACCGGATGTGGACTTTTTGCACTCTTAAGCCTTGATATTGAACAAATGTTTGGGTCAATCGTCTTTAGTATTTACCAAATCAGTGAATAGCAATTTTTGCGCGTTTTGATTGGCTCCCGTAACACGGAATATCCTTGATCGTTTACTGTTTTGCGACCGGAGTCAAGACGGCGTCTCTCTTCGAGACATTTTCGGAACACTAAATTTGCGCGATAAATGAAGCAGTCGTACGAACAAATACCAGAAAAGCGACCAACTTTGGCTTGTCAGTGTTAAATGGTAGATAGAAAATTATTTTCATGCTGAATTTGCAACAAAATCGTAAAAATGCACTTGACAAAATCCCCGAAATGTTTGTAAATTGTTAATAAAGTTCCTACTAAGTGACGTTTTTAATTTACAAAAAGGTTACTTTTTTCATTTTTATCTTACTGATTTGGTAAATACTGAAACAACTATCCCCTCAGGGTTGGTGAACAGCGCTAGATCTATACCTCGACGCTTTACCTCTCTGTATATATATAATTCTACCACTATTCACCTCCCCTTCGGGGGATAGTTGTATACTATAAGAATAAATACAAATTTGGTAGTGTCAAGGCGTGCTAAAATAGAAAACGGCCCACTTCCGGTTGATGTGCGTCGCTCAAAAACGTCACTGCATAAACTCAGTCCCAAATGATAATGATAAACATTATGACGAGCAGAATTATCTCCCTGTTCTGAGAGAACTATATTTAGTTCAACGTTATTTAAAAATAACAACAACAACAACCGATCCTAGCCTGTGAATACAGCCCGGGGATATCCCCTAGGGTGGACAATACGGGGAGGCTTCATCCGAAAGGTGTACCGTTTTCAGGCTTCACCAATAGTAAAAGGTAGGCATCTCGTGAGGTTGAAGCATACGAAAGTGCAGGGAAAATTGTCATTAGGTGTTTAGGGACGGTTTCTCTCGGGAAACTTCCAAGCAGCAGGAAGTGATTAGAGGCGGCTGTTTTTATAGGCGAAATCAATCAGTAAATTGATCTAAATTAAATGTGCACTAAATGTGTAAGCGGTCTCATTCTTTTACCTCGGTTTATAAAGAAGATAGCATCTGGGGTGCGACTGATTTCACATTTAATTCTTCCTCCGTGAGATCCATTCCCTTACACGAGAGTTGGTCATTTCTATCCAAACTGGTTCCAGTTTCAAAACTGATACAAATGTCTCAAAACAAGCTTTCAAGTTATCATTATTCTTTTGTTTTTGATTCTGTTTATAGGTGAGGAGGAAGAAAACGAGGTGAGAAGTTAAAAGTGTGAAAATCTAAATGACGAAATAAATACTAGCACAGTTGAGTTACTCTAGCAAAGTTTCAAACTTAGTCAAACAAGAAAGAACTTTCTGTTTTCATAAAATAAAAGGCTATACTATAAGGTTTTCATACTTGTAAAACAACGGTAACAAGCTCTATTCTCCCGAGATCTCAGTCACCCAGGTCTGGTGACAAAATGGTTTCGTCTATTCTCCTGTCGCTACACTCAGCCGAATAGAAAACATTTCTGTTATAAGTATGAACAGACAAAACAACACAATAATACCTGGAGGGAGCAGCCAGCTATCAAGTTTATTATACCAATAAGAGTTGCAACAAAAGCACTAGAATATTACCAAGGGACTGGGGAAATTTGTTCGCTATATCGAACACCTCGATTTTAGTGTGAAATTCACAAAGAGGGGCTTATAAAGGGTCTAATCATCTCAATGGGAACTGAATTAAACAATGTGACCAACAACTAAAAGAAATACATTTTATTTTCGGATGTTTCGAGATGCAATTTAATCAGGGGGACCCAAAGAGAATATAGTTCAAAACCACTTAAACATAGCATTGTTAAACGTATTTATAGTATTTAAACCGTAGATATAGGCATATTTTTATTCCCTAAAAATTTTTCATCTGTTCGGATTTCCTAGCTGAAAGTCTAGTGATCCGAAAATTATAGGGATCATAACTTACCTTTTCGAAAATTTCAGCCAGAAATAAGGCTTCCCAAAATTCTAGGTGACCTTTTTAGGGTAAAAATCCGTTAAAAATAGGCAAATATACCGTTTTTTGGATGTTCGAAAATCCTAGGAGAGGCAGGCAAGCAAGAAATTTTACAACAAATGTTTCGAAAATTCTAGATCTCAAATCGTCTTCCGAACAGATATTCTTCCGAAAATTGTCGTTGGGTGCCCCTGATTTAATCCATTCGCCACGTGTTGTTAACAGACTAGATTTGTGCAGAAGCTGATAACAAAACTTTGACCAGTGTGATTCCGTAATTCCACAGATGATAAACGTTTGTGTGGAGCTGCAGTTTGAAGCAAACAAGTACTCCAAAGGGAAAAGCCCTCCTCCCCGCGTATGTGTCAAGGTCCTTAATGGCACGAATGCGCATGACATCCTCAAAGTGGCCGTAAACGAACATCCCTGCTACAACTTCACTGCTGTCAATACGTCCTGGGGCCACATGATCACCTCCATTTGTGAAATTGAACAAAGACATTCGGATAAGTTCTACTGGATGGTAAAAATCGACGGCAAATCAGCAGCGACAGGCATTGATGATCTCATACCTTCTGATGGCTCTAATTTGCTTTTTGAATACAAAAAACTTAATTGGGGCAAGTAAGATTTTCACAGGTTAAGATTAGCTTTCAGGTGGTTATTTTTTTATGTATTGGGACAAGTCGACAGTAATTGAAAGAGTTCGTAACATTACAAAGCGAATTTCAATTTCATCTTTTTTCATTGTTATTTAAACAATAATTTTAGAATTTTGGTGCTGGCAGTTAAGTATTTCCTTTCCTCAGTTAATTTTTAAATTTTCTTTCTTCGTGACAGAAGAATAAAGAATAAAGCATTCAAAAATCGGCGTGACAAAGAAGGGGATTAATAAAGATATTTTACCTGTTTAACACATTTCCACACAAGGTTATGCTTATACTGGGAAATAATAAGCTTTCGGAAAATAAGGAAAAGACCGAAAGACGACATGAATCTGAATTTTTTTATGTCTACACTGTAGAGAGGAAAAGTCGTTACGTCACGTTGCAATGGTAGCAAAATTTCTGGACCTCAAACCGTGGTCCTCAATATGGCAGAAAAAAACCCGAAAACATTGACATATACTCAGGAACAAAACGGGAGCCCATACTTTTCTTCTATGGTTGGACAATGCTTATGGCTGTCACTGCCAAGAAAGATTGCTGAGAAAAGCTGCGGCAATTCGAACGGACGAGTTTTATCGGCTCTGTCGGGTATATGTTCTTCAAATGCGTTTAATTCGGCTTTTTACCATTAAAACTCTGCTTATTTTCCTGAAATATATCTTTGAATTAATATTTCATACCGACCAACCAGCGTTTTCCGCCCGACATTAAACGGGAAATGCTTAAAATATGATGATTTGACGTTACCACACGCATCTCTAGTTTCCTGGTAAGTTAGGCATCGCTCTGGCATCACCGCTCTTACTACTGGCCTTTAACCTGAGCTCGCGAAGGTTCTGCGAGACAATTATTTCTCAAGTACTTCGTGCGTAATTAGGTTGTAGTGATAGTTTTTTTTAGTTACTGAAGAAATCATTTTATAGCGGGTAGCCTAGTGGGTATCGGATAGCTCATTCAAGAAGCAATCGACTTTTTTTTAGTCCCTAGGCCTCATTATTCCGCGCGGCCAAAGCGTTACGGGTCACGTGATCCAAGCGCGTTCGCCTGGATACGTCACTGAAGTGAATTGAACGAGAGGGACTGGGAAAACGCCGTACAGGGACTAGGCAACAATCGAGTACATTAAAAACGCGCGACAAAGAACCTGCATTTTCCTAATTTTCTGAAGGGAAAAAAACACAGCTAAGAGTATTTCGTGGTATCCAGCTCATTCCTTCTATATTATAGTAGCAGTTGGAGGGAAAGATACATGTCTCCAAAGAGGATCCTGAATGTTCACGTATCTTTTTACCCAAGTGAACAGAATTTTTTTTATAGATTTTAGAAAATGAACACCTGTTTCAAATTTTAGGCTAAACAGATTCCTGCATAGAGGGGGCATAACTGGCAAATTTTGGCCTAACCGGGCTCTTAAAAAACCAGGTTCTTAGTTGCGGGTTTTTACCGCATCGTTCTTGACGGAAGTTTGGACGGGTTCAAAAACTTTCTTGCCTTAATCAATACACGTTTTATCTATCCAAGTTTTATTTATCCATGGCTTATCCATTTTTAATCAATCCAGTCCATGTTTTACTAATCCAGTCCAGTACAGTCCTATTTTATAATATGTCCTGTTATGTAGGTTTAAAAAGTTACTTATTTTGGGGGATTTTGCTACAGTATTTGAACAGTCATTGAATTAGGAAAAGCATTAATTTTTCACGCCTTCGTAGCAATACTCGGTAACAGGTGTTTTCTGTTGGTTTTCGGCTACCATGTTGAGGGGTACCAACATGGTGTCTCCATAAAGCTCTATAAGTTTAGATAAAACATTTCTCCGAATATCACGCATATGAAAAAGTGCACCGACCTGAATCTTGGCGAGGGTCTTTGTATATTTACGTTCTTTTATTTCCCAGATTCTAGACTTGATCTATTGAACGGTTTTGATTTTTATTTTTGATGGCGTAACAGTGAAAATCAGATTCCGGAATCGGTGAAATTTTTGCTTATGGAATCCGGACTCCGGGAAAATTTTGCTTGTGGAATCCGACATCCTGGGCTTTGAAATCCGGAATACAGCTCAAGGAATCCAGAATCCTAGTTCCACTGACAAAGACTAGAATCCAGTAACTGGAATCCGGAATCCGCGGCGTAGAATCCAGAATCCAAGACTGTCTTGGATTAACACACATGGAGCGAAGCAATTATAGCTGGCTCGAGAGTTTCGTTCTCAAAATATCTAGAACACCATTCTGATTCTCTACCGCACACAGAGCAAACGAATGTTAAATTTAGATACATTACAGTCGACAAAATTCATTGTGGGTTGAGCATGACACCCAACCTCGTTCCCAGAGCTTTTTCCCTTGAAAATGGAAGAAGCCCTGGGAATGAGGTTTGATGACACCCGCATCCACGCCAGAGCAGAGTGTTCAAATGTCAGCTGTCAAAGGACTTAGATGAGGAAAGCAGAAAAACCGGTTAAGCAATGACCCTGTAACTTTGGGTGATACCTGTTGGACCTGAAGTGATCACGCGACGTGGTAAGTCTGCACGAGTAAAATAAAGTGATCAACGCACTGAGCAAAAATGTCAACTGAAAAGCTACATGCAAGATATCATTACTCATCAAACGCAGAACAGTCCGTGCAGAAATACATTGCGACTATAATGCGCTGAAAAGATTACTTAAACGGAATTAATTAAGGTGAGCGATTATTTCAGCGAGAGATTTTTACCTCAACGCGTTAGCGTATACCGTTCCACTAAGCAAACTCTTCACGCCGCGCGATTTTATGATTATGTGAAAAGAAAACCTCTGGCACAGTAGCAATTTTGGCGGGAACTGGCGAGAACGTGGTGGACCTCATAGTGGGGAGCTTGAGCAGAGACGTTTTTGAGCAACGCACGTCAACCGGAAATTGACTTTTTGTATTCTTGGGCAGTGATTTTGTCCTAATTTTAGGGCAAATCGTCTCTATAAGGCAAAGATAAATAGCGATACAAATTTGTTCGCGTCAAGGCATTTTTAATAAAAGGGAGAAGGGAGAAGGGAGATTGTGGTGAAATTCTGTCTGGTGTGGTCGTGACTACCTCGTCCTCAGTCGCTCGCGATCGTATATTCTGAGGAGAGGGAGTTGGGAAGGAGAGGACAAGGGGAAACTGCTCTTGGAACTATGACAGGCAAGTATCACCTTTCCTAAGTTGATCTTTACCTACTTCCGCCCTCCTTTGGATTTTTAGTGTGCGTTGTTCAGGCTTCATCATCACACCAAGGAATCATGAATTGCCATTTGGAGTCAATTTTGGTATTTTTTACCTTGTTATCCCAAACACAAGGATATTGTGGTAAGGAATCCGACAAGTGCTTTTCAGAATAATAGATTAACAGGGAAAATTGCATCGTTAATGCAAGGCATGAAAAAAATAGATGCTGAAGGGGCCATTTCAAGGCGATCACATTCATAAATATGAGTGATTCACACGTTTTCAGTCAGAACAGTCGTTTTTGACAAGCGATTTGCCTTCTGACAGAACTAATTTGTTAAGAGTATTTTGACGAGCATGAAAGCATCGGGCGTTGCGTCAATGGGGACATTTTCTCTGCAATTACGTTTTCCTTTGAAAACAGTCTCATAGCGAATTAAGTAATTTGGATTGACAACCCAATCATTATTTTAATATGTACTTTTCTCGCACAGCTATACATATAGGTATATCTTTTGACCCTGTAAGTTATAAAGCTATATTTTTGGGGGGCTCTTGTGAAACTGACTGAAGATAATACGACCTTTTTCCTTGGTCCAGGATTTTGGGGGAGGGAGAAAGTGGTTACCACCACACGCGAGGAATTTTAAATAGCTATATTTATTTTGACAATTTGTTTAAAAATAAGTATAGAGTTTTCGATTCTGAGAATTTCCTTGAAGGATTTGAAGATGACGCCAAGAGTTATACAAGTAATCATGCTTAACAAGGTGGCGATTTTTTTCATAGGCACGAAATATGTAAGCCCTCCCTGCTCGGGGTGCAGCTGTAATCAAGATTTCAAATTCTAAATTATGTTGGTGAAATGATGACAAATTAACAAGGTAGTTGCCTTACACCAAATGAGTTTTTAAGGGAGCAAAACGGGAAAAAAAGTTCATTGAATATCACTTGGCGTTAAACTCTTGCTTTGCTGACCAGGGTAAAGTAGAAGGGTTATCACGTGAAGCCGATTTTTATGCTCTTCGTTATCAGGATAAACCACATTCTTTGGGTGAATCCCAGATAACAAACTTTAGCTCGTGTATACCTTGCCTCCAGAGGTCCATTCTCAAAGCAAAATGTCTACGACACCAGCTTCCTGTTTCCCTTTTCCCCGCAGGCTAAACCCCAAAGGATCGCTCGTCTCTTACTGTTGGGAACTTTGGCTGTCGAATCAGCCAGTACATAGCTCTCGATAGATCTAGCGAAATTTTAATGTTAATACATTGTAAATACACGACAAAATTCTATTTTTAGGAATAAAACACTCATCCATGCCAGAGCCAAGCTATCCGGATAGAGTTTCTTGTGTGAAGTTCAAATGTCGATAGTGAAGGGATTTAGATGTTGAAATAAACAAAGAACCCGTTTTGTGAGATTGCGTGAAATTGAGGCCGGTAAATCGAGTGACACTCGCACGTGTTGGACCACGTGATCACAAGGAGGCTTTGTGTTAAGTACACTGTCGGCTGGAGTAAGATTACGTCCATGTTCAAAGTACAGAGCAAAAGTGACTACATCGCGCAGTCAACACTTTGTGCTTGCAGAAACACATTCTAACTAAAGTGCACTGAAATGATCACGTAAACGGAAGTAACCTGACCAGAGCAATGACCTGAGCGATCATTACAGCTTTAGCGCGCTGGGCGCGTCATATGTCGCGGCTTAGGCCGCGCGTGCGGCGCGATCAGTTGAACCATTAGGACCAAAAACGTAACTGTCCGGCACCAAAGGTATATTTTCACAATTTTAGGCGCGAACTGGCGAAGGAGGTAGAGCTCACAGTTTTCCCACAGGGTAGATAGTCTATCTGACAGCTTGTCAGATAATTAACTAAACAACACGAATTGATAACCTTTGGCTACTTACATAGCGGTTAATAATGGATTAAGGAAATGCACGCATGCTCAGTGAGGTCCGCTTTGAAATATACTCAATCTAAAACTCTCTTCCAAAGTCTGGTGTTGTCGTTTTTGTTATGTTTAGTGCTTGCGTTAGTACACACCAACACTCCGTGCCCTGGAAGCTGGATGTCGAGTAAACACGTAACCATGTCGATATTCAATCGCGTATGCCATGGGTAACGTCGATAATCTAAGTAACCATGTCTATATTCAATCGGGATTCGGGGAACTTGGAATCTTTTGAAATCTACACATATCATTCAGTCCATCAAGTGCAGCCCAGCAATATTTGGAACCAATGAAATGAATGAACGTGTGAAGGCGAAGTGTAATAAAACAATATATATTTGAAGTCCACGGTTATACGAAGCTATTTTCGAAGCATTTCGTGCGGCTGTGGGCTTTCTATCGATTAAAAAGTTCTAGTTATTTAGATTCCGCGCAAAAAGAGATGTTTGGTTTGTGTTCGACATGTTTTAACATCTTACGAGCAGGCAATTTGCGTTGGTTTCCAAAACCACATCCTGTAAGAATTACGAAACAAAACGTGATTTGGATTAGGGTCAGTAAAAAATATCCCTTGAGATAATTGGCAAGGCTCTTATCGAGCTATCACAAGCAAAGTGACATGTGTATACCGGCGAGGACACTTTTATCGAGGTTAGTTGTTTTTGCGGTGCAATGTACTTTAAAGTTCTGTCCTGTGGTTTCCTTTTAACGTTTAAGTTTGTTTTGCCAGATAACAACGGCTACGCATCGGCATGCACTTAAGAATAATTTCATAAGCCCGCGTTCTCATCCAACTTTTAACTAACCTTTTTTTTTTTTTAGGTTCAAGATTCTTTCAGACAAGCCTCACCCGCTCAGCTGTCAAAGCGGCCGAATGGTTGCAAAACCAACAAGACGAAAATGGTACTTACGGGGAGGGGCACGCGACTGCCGTTATACTGCACTCCCTCAGGTTGATTGGTTATCCTGTGGAGAAGGGAGCCGACGTATTGACCGCCGGAATAATTAAGAACGACATTGGCTCTATGCCTGGAGGTAGAGTCGGCTCTTACATACTTGGCGCCATGGCTACCTGCCAAGATCCCCATCACGTCAACCAATCTAAATTGATTCGAGCCCTGAAGACCAAACTAGACAAGTACCCTCACTTGGGCTTTAACCATCCCTTCCAGTACAGCTGGGCAGTTATGGCGCTCTGTAGCACCGGAATTGATCTTGGTAAAAAGAAGCTCGCCTACACCAAGAAAGTGATGGAAAGCAGTAAGCAACGGCTGGCCAGAGAAGAAGGCTGTACCGGTGACACGTTGCATATGCAAGTGTTGGCTTTGACATGCGTTGAGAAAACCCTGAAAAGAAATGACTCCAGGTGGCTGAAGGAAAAGATTCGAGACGCCATTAAGAGGGCCAGTGACAGAATTGTGAAAAGTCAAATGAACGACAGCACGTTTGGAGAGAATGTAGTTACAGCAGCTCTTGCCTCTCAGGTGATTAGAGGGAAGGGAGGGAGGGGAGGGGTTGCTCTGGCGTTGTACACTCAATCAAATGAGAGAAAATATTGCAGGGGTTAGGGGAGTGGGGATTTTAGATGGGGTGGGGGAGGGTGAAGAGAGAAAGGAAGGGAGTTTCTCCTCCATTTGCTGTCTCTTCGTTTCGCTTCTCTCTTTCCCTTATCCCATAGAAAGGCTTTATACTCAGGCTAAAAATATTAAAAAGAGTTACAGTACAACTACGCTAACCGTCCAGATCAAAGGAATAATGCAATGTCGTCAAAAAAGTCGTTTGAGCCAATCAGCATCTAGTTAAAAAAAACGGCTCAAACGACCTTTATATAGCTTATGTCAATTACGCCTCCTCAATTACAATTTTTCATAGATGACATAAAAATTACGTTGATGGATACAATTGTTTATTAAAAGCAAATCAACTTTTAAAATCTTTCACTAATCTGATTGATTAGTTTCAACTGGCCCTAACTAATAAAGTCGCACTGTAAAACGTAATCCTGTCAGGATTGCATCAACTTGTAATAACTCTATACGGGCAAAAAAGATTCAATAATAATAATAATAATAATAATAATAATAATAATAATAATAATAACAAAATGTATAAAAGATAAAAGTGAAAGTTACAGCACGCAAACCATTTCTTGCTCTTTTAATTTAACATTTCTTTTCTTCTCACTGTCACAGGCTCTGTTAGCGGCTGAAGCAACAACAGATCATTGTCCAAAAACCATGGGTTGGCTGGTGTCTCGACAAAAACCCGACGGATCCTTTACTAACCTGCTGGGCACCATGTACGTGCTGCCAAGTTTGATCGGAGCCCTACCGTATGACCTACAGCATATACCTTGCCCTAAGAATACTACAGGTAAACGTTACGACGTGGTGCAGTATATACCCTGCTCTGAAAGTAGTGTTGGGAATCGGATGAGATTTCACAATCGATCATCGGAAATAATCGGATTCACCCACCACATCCATTATCGATTATAATCCATCTTGAACGGCCGCTGGACTTTGCTGTAGAACACAACAAAAACATACGAAATGTACCAGAAAAGGGACATATATATATAACCCAAGTTTTTATATATCTATTTGCCACCAAGAAATTTTATTTTTTTCTTGCGATAATCGATTGAACATTTACTGACCATAGTCGCTTATAATCGATGATCGGCGTAAAACTATCTGAAAGTACTGCATGTATTCACAATGTCGTGCTTTCTATTTCACAATAGATACTGAGTACGTTAGCCAATCAGATTCAGCGCGGAATTCTTGATAGCATGCTAGTTGGTTTTTACTAGAATTTAAAATCCTCTCTTTTGATCTTGCTTGTAGGTGTCGAGGAAGACACTAAGGTAAGAAATTAAAATGTGAATTTATCAGCAATATACAGCTGAAGACCCCTTGACTCCGTTTGCATGGTTGGTATAACTTCAGACAAACAAAATTCAAGGACTTTTCAACGACATTTCAAGGACAAATAGCAGTTTTCAAGAACTAAGATAAATTCAATAAATCGGCATTCTTTGACCCCCTTTTGATTGGCTAAAACACTCAATGAAGTCAATTACGATTTTTACTTCTTCAGCCATGGTTGATAACATTATTTTATACTACTTCCCGTAACACCACTTTGCAAAATGGCAACAGTCACTGGGTATGACTTGCAGTTGCATCTGAAAAATAAGATATCGTTCATGCACAAAAAAGTTTTTACCCTGATTTTTACGTTATTCGTGAGTTTTACAGGTTCTTAGACCGAGGATGAGCTAAATTTTGCTCTGCAAAATAATCTTATTTCACAGACAATGATGCGGTGTAAAGAAACCAAAGTAGTGAATTTCAAGGACTTTTTAAGAAATCAAGTATTTTTCAAGGACCTTAACCCTTTAAGTCCCAATATCCACATACAAATTCTCCCAACTGGTCTCCATACATTTCCTTGAAGAATTATTTGAGAGAATTTGGTAAAAGATCAAATATTTTTCTCTTTGTGATCATTTTGTTAATTCTCATAGACTTTGCTCATGATAGTCTATGGATATCGTTTGGAGAAAATTGATCTTGAGCACTATTGGGACTTAAAGGGTTAACCGAATTCAAGGATTTTTCAAGATGGCTATAAAATTCAAGACCTTTTCAAGATTGTACGAACCATGGTTTGGCAAGCATAAGAAAAACGTGCTAACGTTTGTTTTGATTCATTTTTCCCATTCTCTACGCCTTGTGAAAGGTTTTGGTTGTACACACTCTCGAGTAGACTTCGCTGCATTTTCCGCACGATTAAATTTGATCGTTGCAAGTTTATGCACTAGTGTTAATCACTGATTACGGATCCGCGTTCGTCCCTTACGGAAACGAAACCGAGTCGAAACGAGTCCAGTTTCCCGGCCGAGATGCCCCTACTAAAATCAGTGGGTGCGGCTAATTGGCAGTCGCCCACGATCCCTCGAAAATTTGCTGCTTTGTACCATTGGAACACCAAGATTAGGATGCGTTCTGACGAACGCAATGAGCAGTGATTTTGTTACAAATAGTTATGGTGAGTCCTGGGACTCATCTTGCGAAAAATCATGAGTCCCAGTCCAGAACTAATGAGTCTCAGTTTAAAAAAACAAAAACAAAAACAAAAAAACGAGTCCGAAATTGAAAATGTTTGGGCCTTTATGTAACCCAGGGGCGGATCTAGGGGGAGGGTGCAGGGGGTGCGCACGCCCCCCTGAGATGACCTGCGGTTTTCTTATACAACTGGTATTCTGCCAAAAAAAAAAACTATGTGGTTTATTGGTGTTGAAGAAGAGCAAGAGACGAGTGCACCCCGTCCTAAAAAAAATCCTGGATCCGCCCCTGTAACCAGACAGTTAATCTGAAGAGAGACTCAAAAACTCTGTATTACAGTATACAGTACAATAGTCCTTCTATTTTAAACCACAACAAAGGCTGAAAGAAATATGCATCGTAAACAACAGCCATAATGACTGCCACAGAAATTAAACGAACAGGATATTTCTTCAAAAACGCTGTTCAGATCGATCGACTGATGTTTGCGCCCTGCATGCCATGAATTATTGATCACTGTATGAGATGTTCATGTACACGAAGTTTCCTATAATAATTATTTTGACCAGCGTAATTTCTTTAATCCGCAGATGATAAACGTTTGTGTGGAGCTGCAGTTTGAAGTAAACAAGTACTCAAAAGGAAAAACCCCTCCTCCCCGCGCATGCGTCAACGTACTGAAGGGCACAAACGCGCATGACATACTGACAATGGCCTTAAAGGAACATCCTTGCTACAAGTTCACTGTTAAAATGACGTCGTGGGGCCGAAGTATAATGTCTATTTGTGACATTACGCGAAGACCCGTAGATAAATACTACTGGATGATCAAAATCAACGGCAAATCCGCCACAACAGGAATCGATAACCTCAGACCTTCAGATGGCTCTCATTTGCTTTTTGAATACAAAAAGCTTTATTGGGGCGAGTAAGATTTTCACAGGTTAAGATTAGCTTTCAGGTGGTCAATTTGACTGACTGAATCGTTTCATTCTAGGCAGTAAGTGGCAGTGTAGTTTAAGAAAGTGTACTTTGTAAGGGATTTTCAGCAATCTAAATTCATTTTTATTCATTGTTAAGGATCGTTAAGGACTAATAAATAGATTTGGGTGTTAAAACTGAGCTCATCTCAGTTTATTGAATTGAGGAGTTTCTTTTTTAGGTGCTGCAATGCCTTTGTTACGACCAACTAGATTTGCTCTACCCAGTTAGATTAGCCCTGCTATTTGCTGGTAGGGCGGTATGTAACTTTTCGATCTGTTGTCGAACAAACTTGAATAAACTTTATAATGGTCTAAAACATTGTAGAGGAGATGCAACTGGACGTAACTAAAGCTTAAGATATTTTAACTCCCAGACAGGTTTCCTCACAAGAATTTACCTGAAGAAAAAAATCGGCTTATAAAACGCACAGGGTTCGTACTCTTTTATGAACAAAAAATTCAAGGATTTTCAAGGACACATTTCCCGTTTTTTAAGGACTTCATTCGGTACAAAAAAAAAACCCTTGAGTCTGTCTTTTTTAGTTCTTCCACAACATAAGTAATTTTATCCCGAAGGTCTTTCAGTGTTTGCTCCTTTTTCTTTGGAGTTCTACTTAAACTATAAAGTTAGCATTGAAATTCAAGGACTTTTCAGCAGCGACTGCAATTTTCAAGGACTTTCAAAGCCTTGCATTTTTATTTTAAAATTCATGGACTTTCAAGGTGCGTGCGGACCCTGAAAGTAAAATGGAAAAGAAGGCAAGAATACAAGAAAAATCTGCATTTTTTACATCTACACAATTTACAACTTTACAAAGATTTTCAAAAATTTACAGACTATATCTTAGTCTGACACGAAATTACACTCGATTAAGCGAGGTTCCGTGAAGTTCTTCTTGAAAAAGACTAGATTTTAAATGTACTGCCGGCAAACTCTTGCACCCAGAATGCTCGGGGTTGTTCACGAGGAAAACTTTTTCCATCTTCAATGGTACGCGTTCAGTCGAATTGTACCGTGATGTAACGTACGGCCTTGCCTTGTCACGCAAGTGTCCTTCTAGTCATGTACAATCGCGTGACAGTGAAATAGAGTGGATGCCGATGGTGCGTTCCGTTGCAATTATGTGAGGATCGATTGAGTTTCTGGGTAACTGACCCCCTACCCCTCCCCTTAGTCACAATTTTGCCTTAAGTGTTAGGTCAGTGTTAAGGTTGACTTAGGGGGGAGATAGGGCTTCAAGGTAAGCAGTACGTTAGCTCATTGACGATTGTAAGTAAGATTAACACTTGGAATTTCTGCCGCGTTGATCCTTAAAAATAATTATTCAAATGCTGTCCTCCTTCTTGGAACAAACTGCGAAGATAAAAACATATTTTTGAAGATCTGAGTTTCGTTTAGATACAGTCGAACCCCGTTAATATATGGGTCTGCACAGAAAAAAAACTTTTTCCTGGAATTTTTTTTAAAGAAAGCTCTTGATGAGCTCTATTTAATCGTCTAAAATTGCAAATTTAGAAAAATGATGATTTTTTACCCTGGATGATACCTTAAGCGAGTTGAATTTAAAGAAAATGCAAGGGCTTTCTTTCCCTAGGAAGAAAGCAAACTGTCCGTGATAATGAGGTGTCTGTATTGAGGCCATTGCCCTGAACCTGAGAAATCCAGATTTCATAATCGTCCAAAAGCAAACTGAGGTGCGGCGCGAGGGCCACCGGGCACCGCAAGAGCACAGGACTGGTTATATTGGGGTTTTACTGTCTAGTCAAACATCGAACATGGATCGTTGTTCGGCCAAACGCCGATCGTACCATGTAGGTCAAACATAACACCAATCGTAATTCAGTCGACCTTGGATGGTACTGGAATCCACCCAGTCGCAAGCTACTGGTGGTGTGGATTGTCTCTGACAGCGAATACCGCAACCTGGCGGCGCTTAAGACCTGGGCTTAAACATCTTCATATGGGGTTTTAGGAAGGCATATAAACGGAGGAGCTTATATTCGAGGAGGCTTATAACCACAATAGAAAAAGCGATTCGAAACAAGCTTTAGCAGTGATGATAAAAATACGTTTCGCACTTAATAGTTTTAATTAAGCTTCAAAACGTCATAACATGTCGAAGCCATTTCAATGCATTTGCTTATATCCAAAGGGCTTAAAATCGGATGTAATTTGGCTTACAGGTGGATGGACCTATAAAAGGGGGCGGGGGGGGGTGGTACTTATAAGTGGGCAGTTAACGGTATGCTGCTTTATTCCCCAATCCACAGCCACCCTCTGTTTTTTTAGTTATTGCCCATTCGATCATATCCCGTGAAAAATGCGTCATAGAAGTCTGGAAAAGGTCCCTACCCTCGCTTGAGGTCCTCTCGCTCTCATGTGATCCGCCTCTTGTCTCAGCATCCGATTATAGGCTTCTTTTTCTCGTCTGAAAAGAAATTTAAGTGGTTTCAGAGACGACGTCCAGCGAAACACGTGAGACACGAAATTGACCACACGTGTCCGCGCACGTGCTCTTTCCTCACTAAATTTGAAGATATATAAAGAGACTGCTCGTAGTCTACGACGATGACGACAAAATGTTACTCTAAAAACCGTACGAAGTTGCATGCGCTGTAGCAAGTTCGGGGGGAATTTTGGCGGTGGAGCCGCCAGTGTAAGCCGGCGAGAAAACTTGGTCGAAGAAAAGTCGCTTAGCCTTTTCTTTGCTCCATTTAAATTCTTGCCGCCTTTGCTGGCTCGCGATGGCGGTTTCGACGCCAAAATTTTCTCTGAACTCGCACAAGTGATCAATGTCAGATTACACCTGCATTATGGACCACTTATTGTTTTGAACAATACGAAGGGGAGGGGGGTCCGGTTATACAGACCCTGAAATAAGGAGGGGGACGGTCTCAGTTTGGTCTAAACGAGACCAAGGCGAGAAGGGAGGGGGGGCCCCTCCCCTGGATCCGGCACTGATACTTTCTGCATAAGACGACACTACCTACAGTGACAGGACCTACCTGTCTCTTTCTTGCTCCTCTTTTTCAATTTGTTGTGCTTCTTTCGCCTTTTCTCTGCGTGAAGTTATCTGTTAATAGATAAATAAACAATTAGTTCCACTGAGCTGCTGGCTCCTTTTTCGATGGGTCGCCGCTCAAAAAAGGCGACTTGTGGGCAAGCTTAGGACAATTTTTTGGCTTCCGGAAGGTGTGAGTTTACGAGACCTTTGACTATGTTATCGAACGGGAGGGGCGCGTGGGCAAGATAAAGCAAATTTTGACCTGTGATTTGCTATGCCAGAGCGGGAAGGATGTGGAAATTACTTTTTGGCCATATAAACACATCTCTACTTCACAAAAATGGCCAGTCAAGATGGCTAGGTTATTGTCCTTTTATGTGGACCTCGAAAACGCAGAGAAAGAACTAGTACAAAGGCGGAGCCGCCTATGTAAGAAAAGCTTATTTTAGATCTTTTCTTGTGAAATAGCCTGAAGAAATGTTAATAATATTGTTATCTTACCTGCTCTTGAATCTCTTCCTCTCTTTCTTTCCGTTGCCTGACTTCCTCGGCTTTTTCTCTCGCTGTCATTCGCTGAACTTCCTCCAGTTCTCTGAGAAGCTCTTCCCGACTCTCAATAGACTCCTGCTGTCTTCGCTTATTTTCCTCCATTTTTTCATCCAGTTGGTTCCTACGCACTTCAAGAACCTGATGGCACAATAAAGTATAATTTGATTCTAATAGGACGGTATAATCATCGACGAATGACAAAAGGTAGGTGTGGTTTTTGATGACTTCGCGCTGCTTCGTGAAAGCGTTAGCCTGCGAATACTGCGGTCTCTCTTAGCTCCTCGCCACTAAGGACGAAGGGAGACGGCTGTATTCGCAGGCTATGAAAGCGTCTGCTATAATGTCAAAATTTTCCTAAGAAAGACAAACATTTCATGAGACAGTGCAAACGAAATTAATGTCTAATGAGTCTGAAAAAAAATCTGAGCTACAAGTACAACCCAAAATCAAAGGATAAACGCGAAAATAAACAAGTTACAGATAGGCGGCTGATTCGTCCCCAGTCGTCTCTCATACTGCTATTGATGGTGGGCGCGCGAGGGGTGATGGGAAGGAGAAAAGTGGGGCAACGACTGGTAGATCACTTTTGTTTTCCTCCTTTGAAAATGCCTCTTGCGTTTTGTCCTAAGCGCGCGATCCAAATAGAGTCGACTGAGGACAAGTCAGGAAAGGCGGTGTATTGGCGATCGGCCTCTACAATCGACCGCCTTCCGGCCGTTCCGACATAACAGTAGGTGCCGCTTCTGTTGTACACATAACTTCTGTACCTCAGCCATAAGCCTTTCTCTGGCCAGTCTTTCTCTTTCCCACTCTGCCTCTCTCTTGGTCCACATTCGCGCCGCTTCGTCTCTGAAAATCAAAGAAAAAAGACAGCAAACTTCAATTTTGAAATTGAAGAGTCGAAATTGAAGAAATCCAGAGTTGACTGTAAAGAGTTTTCAAAGTATTGTTGTTCTCCCTGCAGTAGCTGAAGGTGTTTAGCTCTCTTACCAGAAACTTAACTTATAATTGCCACCTCTTAAGTGACTGTGTGGTATAACAGTTTTGGTTGTTGCGTTCGAAGAAAGCAAAGCTTATTTCGCCCTTCATGCAAAACAATTTGGAAAAAAAAAAGAAAAACAGTTTGTTGTTTTAATTCTGATGTCCAGCGAAGTAAGTTAAATGATGGTCATGTAAGCTGTACCTGTAGAGCATGTCCAACTCTGCTTCCCGTTGTTGTTCCAACTTCAACTGGTCAGCAACAACCTGTGAAATAAAAACCGGTTTTAATCCGCTTAGTTACGTGAAACAATACTAAAACTCTCGCCAATCAAAACAAGAGGAAGCAAAGAACCAATCACAAACCACTGAGGCCAAAGATGGAAGACTGATTGACAAAGATTGATTGCTCGAGACTACGACGTGCATTAACCTGACCGCGTCAGGCCCAAATTTACCAGATCTCACACATTCTCTTTTACGTGGAATTTGATTTGTCAAGAGAGACAGAAATAGAGCCTGATCTCAGGTTAACGGGAATACACTGGTCAAAAAAATGCTAAACCACATTGTAATTAGGGAATCACAGGTGAAACTAGAAACGAATGTCAACCACACGGTAGCAGCAAGAGTGAGAGTTGTTATGAAACTAAAAGCTGAAGTTTATAACTACCTGGACATTTGCGTCAAACACAGAAGATTTTTCTAAGCGTTTTAAACAACGAAATGAGGAACACTGTTAGCATGTATCTCCCTTGAAAAGACAACACACTGGTTCACACTTATATGTCCTTTTCAGAGAACTTGGCATGAAGAAATAATCTCATAACTTGTTTTCCAACGTAATTTAATACCTGTCTCATATATTCTGCATCAGCTCTGGCCTTTTCACGACGTGATGTCTCTAGTGCTTTGTCTTTATCCTCCTGTTAACGAAAAATAATAAAAGAAAACAAATGGCCTCGTACATCCTCCAGTTTGATGCACGTACGATACTGTCAGTATAGACTCCAAGGATTTAAAAATATTATAACAAATCCCAATTACCTGCTTAGCCAGCCCTTCTAAAATCTTCAAATCAAGTTCCTAAATGAAAGAAGGGGAATTTTTCAGTGTTAAAATGTTTAACATTTTCATAAGATTTAAACTGGATTATAGTCCAAACACAGCTCAAGGTATGTTAATGTCATACAGTGGAAGCTAGATATAACACACTTCTATAAAACGAAGTCCTCGGTAAAACGGACGATATTCTTCGCCCCAGCTATACTAAAACTGATGGAAACGAACCTCGATATAACGAAACTTTGTAATAGAGAACTTATTTTGACAGTCTCCGGGGTCTTCGTTTTATCAAAGTTGCCCTGTAAAATGAAATTAAACCCTTGCTGACCGTTTTTTTTTTCAACTGTACAATGAAATAAACTACAGGCAACTTGAGCAATTGAAACGGCTAATAACTATCCTTTGAGCAGGCGTTCATTCTAGCAAGCGCAAAAATCTGGAAAAAATGATAAAGCTCACATACTGCCAACTTCGGGGCTCGCACAAAAGAAAGCCTGATGGTTTGGGAAAGTTAAGGAACGTTGTCAAGTTCTTCCACTGCTAATTTTCATTTTAGTACGTGAAGGAATGTGTACTCTCTACAGTGGCTCTACAGTTTTAGAAAAAGCACCCGCTTCCGCTCCCAACGCCCCCCTGTGATAAAAACAACCTTTTCACCAAACGTATGTACATGTATTTCTCTTCTCACTATCGTTATCACTCACCAGTGCCTCCTGTATCTCTCTGCTCTTTCGTTTCATCTGGGCTTTGTGTTGACGGATTAAGACCCGGCTGCAAAATAGTTCAGTAAACATTTATCTCCTTACAACAATTTGAGAACAAAAAGCCAAAATGTACGATCTTTAAAAATGTTCCTTGACATGACAAGATTAATGACTGGGATGAGAAAACCTACCCAAATTCCCGCTTTCTCCTTGCTTCCTCTAACAGTCTCCTGTCTTCTTCCTAAATCAGACCAAATAACAACTATAAACCCTACATGCACGCTGTATTTCAAACTTTAAACACAGAGGGATCTCAAATGGGCAGTGGATGAATTCTTGCACCAGTCTACACTTGCTATCTTAGCAAGAGCAGCTGCGAACGAACACAAGATGATGAGCTGCACTGGGGTACTTGAATTTATGTACTGTGTTTTAATTTTCATAAGACAAACTGAAGACCACCCGATAGTCTTCTAGTAATCTGCATTGATCTGTCAACATTTTACTTCTTTATCCATTAACAGAATTTTTAAAAAAAGTACTCACAGCTTGCTCAAGTTTCCTTTGTTCTTTGATCAAATCCTCCTGCTCCTGTTTCAGCATAAGAGCCTGTAAAAACACATTATGATATGATTGATACTCTTGACAAGAGTTACTGACGTCAGACATAAGCAATGTTGATGTTAAGTGTTTGTTTATTCAAAGGCACTTTGTTACAAGCATCAGGTAGTGAGGATTTGCTTTTGTTAATGCACTTGAACCTCCTTGATAGTAGGAAAGACCACAATGTGTGTGTCTATATCGCTTACCAGTCGTTTCGATATAAGCTCAGTCATGGAGTAAATAGTTTCACATAATAATTTATTTTGCTTAAAGATCAAGGAATATTCACCCCATACATGTATGCTTCTCTCGTCCGTGTACGAGCTATACTTGAGTTATGCTTACTCTTACCCTAAATTGCACATGCTGTCAAATGCCATCCCACCCATCGGAGAAAAATTCATAACAACAGGTTTATTAAGTGTCTATTGCTTGAAAGGCAAAATATTCTGTGGTTTAGCAAGCCTTTTTCTTGATTTTAAGGGCAGGGTTCAGGCCCTGTGCTGTATCTGTCACCATGTAGCTAGCCTGCATGACAGGCAATTTTTTTCACGTTATTCAGGAGAGGGAAGGCATTCACAAAGTGAGTGACGAGCGCGAGACATGCCAGACACACGCCTTCCCCCATCCTGTGGTGCTGGTGCACCTCATTCACTTCACACTTGCCATCGCTTGCCTAACAAATGCCTGTTATGCAGGCCAGTCATCAAGATTCCAAGACACATACCACTCATGCAAGCCAGACCAATACTTCCACTTAGAAGAAAAGCTGAACAGTGTGTGTGTGTGTGTGGGTGTGTGACTGTTCTTACCTCTTCTTCTCTCAACTTAAGTTCTTCCATTTGCTCTTTCAGATCCTCCGCAAGTTTTTCACGTTCCCTGGTAAAATATGAAGAGCAAAGTTTAATTCCTGTGCTCTATGCAAAAATAATCTATGCATGAGCATACACTTTCAGGGTCTTCATTTAGAATTCTAGTAGCAGGAGAAAAGTGTAATGTTACAGAAGAATCTTATGAAAGAGGCTCCTCATCTGAATAAAAAATAGTGACAGGAACACGAACTTTAGCCGGAGAATATTTCATAGTACACGTAAACTGAGAATTCTCCGATCTCCGAGGCCGAATGAACACCCTGCACCGTACAGTGTAGGTGGAGCTGACAGAAAACTAAGCAACCATTTCTACAAACATCTTCACGATGTTTAGAAAGATGCATTAAAACCTGAGCATCATTCCAATCTTCCAGATCATTCTAGCAATAACAATGCATTCAGTAAGATAAAGCGTAACACTGGATCAAGAAAAAATAATGGGAAAGAGGGGAAAATACCCAGTCCAGCCCTTGGGATAGGTGAATTTCACGAAAGTTATTTTTAGACCAATAAATTATCAAACACTTGAAATTAATGAATAGCTGGTTTCTGGAGAGGAGTGCAACCTTTTATTCAGTTTTGTCGAGAGAAAATTCAACAGTCGCCATTAGAATATTCTGCGTTGTTTCCTTTGAGGCAGTTGCGCGTGGACTTGATGACATTTCAAACAAGCCATTAAAATGTGCGGATGTCTCAGTAGACTTCTGTTCAATTCCAACCTCTAAACATAATTATTTATGGAAATTCACATATCCCCGCCCTGAATTATTTCCAGTGTCTAGCCTGAATAACAAGGAAAAATGACATGATTTGGTTTTAGAATATCACTTCTTGGTACCTCTTTTTTGCTTCTTGTTTGGCCTGTTCTCTTTCCAGAGCCAGCAGTCTGTCTCTTTCCATTGCAGCATCCATCCTGCCAGGTAATGCAGAAAACAGTTGGAGAGTTTAAACTCCACTTTTGGGTTCAAATAATTATACAGACATGAAATGCAGCTCAAGCATTTGATGTTGAGACTATGGAGACCTACAGTGAAAGCACTATGGTGTTATTTAATTTTTTCTTTATTTACACAATTTAAATTTGAGATTTTTTTCACTGACTTATTACGGTTTTTACTCCAAGGAGTGCCCACAATGAAGTGGCATTTTTTTGAGCAGTTTGGACTTTGAGGCAAAAAGTGTGGTCTTCCGCTGGTTAAGGAATGAAAGAAGCGGAAAACATTTTTCTCACACACAGCTGGGAGTATGGGTTTAAGTGAGCGGGGTTCTTCAGGTCACATGGCGTTTCATAGTTCAGTTGTTTTTGTTGCCTTCTGCCATTGCCTGACCTGCCCTGCCTACCCACCCTCCATGTGTATTTTGGGTTGTAGGATTTCAAGTAGTGCCTTAGTTCCAGTTATTCTTGTATGTTAATCTATTGTATCTAGGCTCAGTTTCAGCTGTTTCGTTAGTTCTCTTTTTGTGCTGTAACATTGATGATTTGTGGTGTTCATATAATAATGGTCGGGCTGCATGGTCGGCTTGGCATGGCTCCCCGTTGTGTGTGAGAAGCATTTATAACATATTACAAAATAATGTATCGTTACCATGATGCAATCTCTAGTGAATACTAATATTTGTTTAACTTAAACTCACCTTCTGTCCTCATATCTTGCTGATTTCAGGTTCTATAATGGAATCAAGTGTTCAAACACAAAAGAAAGCATTTCTAAGTTCATGTAGCAATTCTGAGAAGCTATAAACTAGTTATTTTAATTCTATGGCAAAAATGTTATGAAGGAAATAACTACTGCAAAAAAAAACAGAACAGAATGGGTAGATGGAAAAATAAAAAGTTTTATTACTCTAATTTACCTCCTCTCTGTCAGAAACTTGATCAGCCCAGCTGTTAACAACATGTTCCCTCAGTTGATCAGCTTCTATCTGTTAATCAAATGGCAAACAACAGACTATTAAATAAACAACTCCTTTTGTCTGTAAAGTATTGTCAGGGTAAATTGTTTTGTATTTCTCAAGATAGTAGTGTACAATGATCACAAAAACTGAATGATGCGGAAACACATGTGGGTTGGCGGAGAGGGGTGGTGGAGTCTGCAAGCACACATTTTTTTAATGGTTGTCCTGGTATAACGCCAGCTCCTGGTATACCCTCCCCTTTCCCTTCCTTGGAACATGGTCTTCTTATTTTCACTCGGCTTGTTTTCATGACCTCCCTACTATCTGAGAGCCTGACACAGGCTATGTACAGCTGTACTTCCCTACAAGTGCAGTCTAAGATTTAACATGGGAGACTTAACAATACAAACATAAAGAGAAGGTGACAGGTGCTAACTTAATGGTGGTCAGGAAGGGAGGGAAGGGGGGCTGGTAGGCAGATTTACAGGTAACAATGACAACATGATACTGGTGATAAAGGTGTTGGCAGATCTGGAACAGACCAATCACAGAGCAGCAAATTGCACACTGAAAACTGCATTCAGTCCTTTCCGAATGCATCCAAATTCCCATCTGATGTTGCATTGATTGTAGTCTTTGCTACATCTTCTCTTCACTGGTAATTTTTTGTTTAGGACATTGAGCATGAAGAGAGAGAAGGAGTATTTTTGGCTTAGTAAATGAAATGATATATGTGGAGAGAAGAACACAGAAAGAAATTCTGAGTTCCGGATGGGAATTGAACCCACGACCCTCCGTACACTAGTCAAATGCTCTACTTATGGCTTGTTTACTAACCTCTCTGAGTTCAGGAGCATTTTGCTTCCAATGTTCATACAATTTTTGCTCAGCAATCTGCAAATAAACGTATTTCATGGTAATGAAAGTGATGCCTGTGTTATTAGAAGTACAACTTGTATATTTCTAGTAATGACCAGTAAAAGGTGTATAATAATGCAAAGTTTCAGAGCAGTAGTAGTGTTTGAAAAGAGGAATTCATCAATACAACAGTCTGTAGTAGCACCTCTTTCCTTCTGGCTTCTTTTTCTGCTTTCAGTTCATCAGCTCTACAAAACAAAGAGTAAACAATCTTCTTAGCTGTTTTATCTTATCAAACACACTTCTGGTTGCTCGTGACAATTGAAAATGCCAACCATCATCGGAACTACTTTACCAATGTGCTTTTCTGATAGAAAAGAGGAATTCTTTTGACTCTACAGTCATCTCTGTCAAAGTGGGCATTGCTTTTGAAATTGGAAAGGTTTGTAACTGGCAAATAAATTCACTAGAATTAATTGTCTTGATGCAGACATTTTTTTAGAAGCATTTTTTATATTTGATCCTGAGAAACTAGTAGTACATGTATAAGTGGTAACTTAATTAAGCAAGGGTAATAGCACCTGACAGTTTTAACAACTGATGACCCAGTGTGTGACCTTTACATCACAACATTCTTTAGAACTTACTGACAGCTAAGAATTACTTCTGAAAAGTGTGAGGTACATGTAATGCACCTATCAATGTAAACCTCGTGGGGGGAGAGTGGGGGCAAGGGGTGGGGATTTGACAAATTTTAAAATTTTTTTATCAAACTCCCCAGGGTGGGAAACAAAAGGTCAACCAAAAGTGTCAAAAAAGCCCCCACCCCAGGGGAAAAAATCTAAACAAACAATACTATAATACTGTATAAAACGAATTAAAAGAACATTTCAAAAGTACGTCCTTACTAAACGTAAGCTCCATTAAATTACTCGCTGTAATTAAGTATTTTCTCTCTGCACTAGCATCTTTTATTTTGAACAACAAAATCACTCTAGGAAGATTGACCGTGCTATTATAATATTAATGAAACATAAAATGCTTTATAACATCTGCTCAACATGCTGGAACAGGTCGGATAAGTGACCCGTAAAAAATCCTCTGACTTTCATGGTGGAATTCGATTTCAATCGAGTTTTACAATGAGATGGGAACTTGAAGATAAAAACTTTCTCAAAATAGACATGATCTGTTTAGATGACAGTTTAAAGTATAGGATTATGGCGATTAAAACAAATGAAAACTTCACACCTTTCTCCACCAGAGTGACTTTCAGAAAGCCTCAA